AAATGTACAGTATCTCACACACACACACACACACACACACACACACACACACACACACACACACACATCCATAACCTGGCCCCTGGTTGCCTCTGATAAGCAAAGATGAACAATGCTGATGAATCATCCTGCCGATCGATCAAATCATCACCACGGCCACTTTGCATGCACCGTGCATGTACCACTGGATGGGAATTAATAATAAAAGTATGCAATTTATGGTTCTGGCTTTAATTTAATGGTCTCCTGAATCAGCGAAGCATCACTCTCAGGTGCCACTGAGAGGGTCTGCATGTACAAGCAGAATCGTCACCGAATATTAGGATGGTTCGGCTTAGGCGGTAATAGAAATGAGTGATGACTGAGTTGGGGGAGTTTGTGCCATTTGCACTGATATGTACAGACTTTTTATTTACTGCTGCTTCATATTAATCTCCCTTCAGGCTTCAGCAGGAGATTTGTATTTATTTATTTATTACATTTTTTTATTAAATATTTTCCCTTTCTGTTGGCCTGGTCGGGCCAGTAGTTTAGGAAGAATTTAACTTGCCAAGTATTTATGCTTTCTTACATACTAGATTTTTTTTTTTTAAAGTGATTTTTTCTTTCTTTTTTTTTTTCTCAAATTAAATTCTCATTTTTACAAAAAATTACTAGGCTTTCAGTTTTCAATAAACGATACAGGTATAATGCAACTTCATGGCAGCTGTATTCATAGACATATATATTTCAGCAAAATCTCATCTATGTCAGCCATTTAGGTAATGTTACATTGGTATAGAGTTTTAATTGTAAGAATTTGCAACAACAATGTTCAGTAAATGTTTTAGCCTTAGTTTTCTTTGTTCACATGTGCTGTGATTTAAATGTTTAAACTTAGCAGCTTGTAATGGGGATGAGTCATGGCCAAATGTTTGCAAACCCATTTAATATGGAACTTACTGATAAACTATTGAATTGTTTAATCTTTTAATTGTGGAACATTGTCCACTCTTTAACACTTTTGCAGACAGATTTTGTTTTGTATGTGAGATAAAAATACATTTAACATTGCGACATTCAGCTAATATGAAGTATTTAGCACATTGTTTTCTGTTAGTACATTTCTGAATACATAATGCATTTTGAAAGGTTGACCATATTTACATGCTCATTATCTGATTAAAGTCCATACTGTGGTTAAATACGTATAATATAATGTGTGTCTGTTTGAAACTATCTTGGAGCTGTTCAGCTGGTCAGTAAAAGTTTTTTTTTTTTTTTT